TCATTCTCGCTCTCTCAAATAAATAAAATCTTAAAAAAAAAAAAAAACACCAAGTGATAACACGTTAGCCATATGCAGGAAGAGACAAAGGAGGTAGTAAGGGAAAATAAAAGCATGGATGCTAAGCCACTCCCAAATTTAAAAGTACGATATGTACCAAGTTGTGTCAGCTGTGAAAATAAAAATATAACAAAAACTGGACGCGCCGAGGATTAAGCTCTTTTCTGATATCATTAAGACTTTCTCAAGCACAAGAACCGTGGGCACCGCCTTCCTGTCACCTGCTCTGTCCTACCCCGCTAACCCCACTTGGGTACCCTCACAGACAAGAGAGCCAGTTTGAGAAGGGTGGCATGTGCTTCCATTCCCCACCCCTCCTCACTTTTAGCACCCAGCACGGAGTAAGCAGGCTACATATGGTTAATAGACGATTGAATGAATTTCAACTCCATGGTACTTCTTTACGGAACCAGTATGATGTAGAAAAGAAGGTTTTTTTTTCATTAAAAAGAAGGAACAAGTCAAACTAGTCCACACTTCATCCCCCACACTTGGCCCTACTTTTCCCGTCCTAGCAGAGCTGCCCTTAGTCTAAAAACTGCAGGTGCAGATCACAGTGCCCTGGGGCTTCAGGGGCTGCCTGACAAAGAGGAAATAAACAGCTGTGGGATAGGGGTGACAGAGCTTCAGTTTCCTTCTGGCTTTGCCACTCAGGAGCCACTAACCTCAGACAAGTCCCATGAGCTTAACGTCTTCAGAGCTGAGTTAGAACTCACACCATATTCAGACTAAGGAAACAGGTGAGGATGAGCCCTTCCTACTTGACACAGGATCTGTGCCCCAGACTTAGTTGTGACAGTGATAGCAGCCTCGAGGTTCCAGCCTTATTTATACATGTTGGGTTCCAAGGTAAAACGTATTTATCCCCAGTATAGACTGGTTCCAAAGTAAAGTGTATTTCTTACTATAGGTCACGGTCAAAAAAGTTTAAAACCACTAGTTTTGCAGTGGTCCTAACTGGACACACCCCTATGGAAAGACTACAAGTAGCCATGCATACCTGTGATCATATGCAGAAATGTTTTATGTACCTGCAGTTTCCTAGAGAGTTGATTTTAAAGGAATCTGTAGCCCCAAGAGGTTAAGAACCAGTAATGAAAAGGTACAGTAACATAATTTAAAGAAAACAGACATTTTTGATTCCGAATGGGTAAAATATTGAAAAGCCTGTACCTGTTTTACACAATTAAAATGACCAGACTGTCATTTATTTCTATTTCTCTAGAAGTACTTTGACCAGCAATCTGTCCAAGTTGAGGTGACAGAGGAAAAGAATAATTGTGGCTATTCTACAAGTCCTGACAACCGTGTAGAGATCATTATTTACATTCCAAGTATTTCACTGAAAGTCCCTCAAAGTGAGGAAAAAGGTCTCATCATAAAGTTTAACCTAGAGGCAAGGGACAAAGAGCCACAAAATAATAAGGGTGAAAAATAACATGGAAACAAGGGAGGGTAGTAAAACCCTGAAAAATAGTTCACTTTTTTATAATCAAACACAACTCGGCCTCTCTAATCTCACCTTTGTAAAAAGAATACTGGTCTGATGGAGTTCTTCAATGCCTTTGCTGAAAATATATGCAGAACTCTGACTAAAAGCACAAAAAGAGACAGGATATTCAAGCTCTTCCTTAAATACAGAGTGTCTACTTTCTACTGCTAAGATTCATACGGGGAAGAAAAAACTAAACAGGTGTGAGATACGATTACAAACACATTTTGAACATTTTGTACGTCACAATTTCTTTTAGATTTTTACCTCAGGAGAGAGGCAAAAGCTGGCTTTGATAAACAAGGCTGGATCTTATTTCTCCGCTTCATTTCCACAGGTGGTACCCTAGGAGACAAAAATAGAGTCAGCCAGAAACCAGAACCAGGCAGCCCGCCCCAAGGAAAACAAATGCCCTGGGAATCGGCTCAGTGCCACCACCCAGAGGCTTCCCAGGCATGGAATTAACAGCTCTCACAGAAGCCCTTGAGGGACGACAGGACCCTGCACGGATTTGAGGATGCATGGATACACGGCAAGAGAGTGAGAAAGGCTGAGGCGACAAGCAGCCCGGAAGTAATTCAACAAGCGGTGAACAAAGAGCCTTCAAGAAGGGCTAGGATTACCACACTGTGGAGGCCCCAAGCAGGCTGACTTTTTAGAAGTACCCCCCGCCCCGGCCCACCCAGAGCCTGAGAAACCCCACACACGCCCGTGCACATGGCTGTCTCTGTCCTCCATGCCACATCTGGGGACACCTACCACAGAAACACAGACCTGCAGATGCAGCCTTGTGATCTGCCCTCCACAAATCACACTTTTCAGAGTCCTATGGAACTCTCCTCTATTCTTGGCACAGGTTAGGCCCTTCTGGGTCTCCTGAATGGAGTGCTTGTCTCCACAATTTAAAAGGGTATTGTGAAACAAGACAAAGCACGACAACAAGAATAAGCGAAGGGGACAGGGTGACAGGATCCAGATTTAACCAGCTTCGTAACTGCTTAACAGAAGAACATGTTAATGATCAATGACATGAGGAACTCATCTTAAAAAACTAATCAATTTTCTTCTGTAATCACAGGACTCAAACTAAAAGTATTGGTCTCAATTTTCAATGTTTTTGTTAAAAAATCCCCATAGTTGGAACTGCTAGGTTTCTAAGCGACAAAGCTAGTGAAGTCCTTATCAGAGAAACACCTTCTGTGAGTACCACAAATGGCAAGAATCCCTTGATTTATATGTAAGGAAGGTACATAAATGTGGTGGACTAGCATATTAGACCATAAAAACCAAATTATATTCAGAGGACAAAATGAAGTGTAAGATACATTTCTTGGTTTCTAAGGTTATTCAAACAGAAAACCTTTTAGGATATTGAGAAGACAAACTTTGAGTGGCTTTATAAAGTTATCTGTCTTAAATAATTCTTAAGGAATTAAGTTCACAGCACAAAACCCACCCGAGGTAATTCCCCACGGTACTCTACATGACTGGAGTGATGTGTTAGCTTAGGAGTGTTGTAAACATTCGTCAAAGCCTGATGACAAAAGACTGTGTAGAATTCAGATTCTTTACATTGTCTTCCTTATTTCTCTTGTGACACACAACAGGATTTGTAGGGAAGTAGCAATCTAGTAAACTCCTTGCTTTCTCTTCTGTTCTTGTCTTCCGTTACTAAGTGTGGTACAGAGATAGGACGCAGCAAAGACAGGAGAGATCCCCATGGTATAACCCTCGTGTAGTGTGTAATCAAACTTCTAAGTCCTCTAGCTCATTATTTAAGTCCAAAGCCTAGAAACTTAGGTCCAAACCTACCCACCTGGCATTGGGTTTTCCCAGTGACCATTTGCCTAACTTCCTTCCATGAAGAGTATTACAATAATTTTTCAATCAACCAGTAGTGAAATAAATTCGGAAGCATCAATTTTTTTTATCTAGTAGGATAAAAACAAAACAAAACAAAACCCAGAGACGTGATCTAGGATCTCCTATTGAAAAACTGGCAAACAGTACTGATAGTTTAAGACAGGAAATTATCATGTGATTTATTTTGATATCATATACCACCATCTACTCAGGATTTAAGGGTCATCAAAACTTTATTCCTAGCCAAAGGACTGGTAACAGGGAAAAGGATAAAAAGCTTATAAGTTTTCTCTGCAATAAAACTACCTGTGCCTCTTCAAAGTTTTATATGTGACATTTTAAGTCAACATGGTTTCATAATACACATCTATCATCATTCACCAAATATTTTTAAACAAAGAGAGTCTATATTTTAATCAGCAATATCTTATCCAAGCATTTTAGGTTCAACAGTCAAGTACAACTGAGTCCAAGAATGACTCCATCAATTCAAAGAAATGAAATATTATGATTGTCCCAAAGACAATCAACGTCACCGCTTCACTGAAAAATCAATAAAAAGAAGGTGCTATTTTATCAGTTTTAAACTATTAGAGTACAACATAGAAGCTATCAGAATGGTAAAACCCCAATTTATAATGGAAAGCTAGAAAAGGCTCAAAATGTTAAAGAGGTGGTTTTTTGTTTGTTTTATAGGTCTCTCTAGGATCATTTGTGTGTCTCTGTGAAAGACTAGTTTGGGAATTATTTTTAAAGAGCAAAAACGATAGGGCGCCTGGGTGGCTCAGTCAGTTAAGCATCTGACTCTTGGTTTCAACTCAGGTCATGAGCTCAGGGTTGTGAGATCGAGCCACAGTGCTGAGCGTCAGGCTCAGTGCTGAGCGCAGAGTCTGCGTCAGTGCTGAGTGCTGAGCGCAGAGTGTGCTTGAGGTTCTCTCCCTCTGTCCCTCCTCCCATCCTGCTCTTTCTCGAATAAATAAATTCCTTAAAAAAATAATAAAGAGCAAAAATGAAACTTACCAATAGACATTTGTTCCCCATAATATACAATGCAGCACATAATAGAGAAAGACAGCACTCAGGAATATGGCCACAAGGTACCCTCTCATGGCTGGCCCACCTGCAACACAGGAATGAAGTCCAAAGAAAAGGCAATATTATCTGTTCACACAAAGACTCAAATACAAGATTAGTGAACAAACATATAGAGAGGGAAAAAGAAGTAAAATGATGTAGGCCTATTATTTTTGGAAATATCCACTAAATTTGCAGGAAAAGAGTATTTTTTTTCTATCTCTCCTCAGCCTCTTTAGTCAAAATAACATGGTAGGTAGACCAATAAACAGTAGTACCATTGTTTCAAAGCTGGTGGCTTCCATACTACTTTTTCATGTTAGAGAAGAAAAAAAAACTCATTCAGAACAAAATGTTACACATCTGTTCCATATCCAAAACTTTTTTTCAGAAACATTAAAAAATATCTATTTTCACTCTCTCCATAGAAAGCGAATATATGCCTTAAGATGTAAATAAACATTGTATTTATTCAGTGCTCAAAGTGATTTTTAAATGCTCTACATCATAATTTTTACAAGTCCTTTATGTAACTTTTAAAAACTGGGAACGGGTGCCTGGGTGGCTCATTCGGTTAAGTGTCTGACTCTCAATTTTGGCCCAGGTCATGATCTCAGGGTCTTGAGATGGAGTTGGGCTCTGCACTGGATGTGTACCCTCTCATGGCTGGCCCACCTGAAACACAGGAACGTGCTTCCCTCTGCTTCTCCCCTTCTCTCCCTCTCCAAAAAAAAAACCAAAAACCAAAAAATCACCTTATAAAAACTGAGGAAAAAAGCTACTAAAAAATATTTCCCACATCTCCGATTTTTTATACCTTTAGGTGTACCCATTTGATTTTTCAGTTTCATAGCACAGGTAAATTTAGCTAATTTCTTACTTATTTTTGCACTACATAGACAGTTTGGTCCATTATACATTGTAGATAGATAAAAACCTGGACACAATCCTCTTTAGAATATAAATTTAAAAATCCTTTATAGCATACATATTTTTAAAAAACCTAACCATATTTAGTTCTCACTTTTGCTTCCTAGAAATGAGTAAGTTCTCACTTCCACATGCAATTCAATGCAAAAGACAAATTTAATATATTATATGGTTCTTACAAGAGATTTCAGTGCTTGTGATTTGAAACAAGTAAGCTATCTCTTTGCCTCTCATCAAGTTTCTGATTCATCTAGACACTTGCACATACCGCTCCTCCCACTCCTGTTCATGTCTATTAACCTCAATCGGGGCCACGCAGTGTAGGCACTGTGAGTCTGAGGAGATACATTTCCAAATAATATCATGCTGTCTCCCTTTTAACAGTAAAATAAGGCCAAATGGAACTCTTAAAATAAGGCACTCCTTTGCCTTCATAAGTAGAATATAATAAATATAATTTAAGCTTTCCTTGATAATGTGGGGTCATAACTGTGCTGGGCTCCTCTGGAACCAAGAAGGGTGTGGGACTGTTTGCTAAGCAAAAGTCCTTATGCAGTGGAGATTGCTGGTTTCCCTTCCCTTGCTCTCAGCTGCTCCTTCTCACTGCTATGCAGGTAGCCACCAGGCTCACATGCCGTTGTAAGTCAGAAATGCTTATGTAAGGAGAAAGCAAATAGAGGAGGTAAATGAACTAAACTGACACATCTACCTTAGTATACATAATCCCTGTGAAAAGTCAACACTGCTTGGCAACCAGAAGACAGGAATCATGGCCCAACTCCACATAATTCCTGGCTTGCGGGGCGGGTGCCTTAGATAAATCCGTTTACCTCTTCCAACTCGAGTATCCTCACATGTTTACAAGTGAGAGCACACAACCTACCTCTTTGAACTGTTAGGTAGATGACCCCAAATGATGGGTGTCTCGGACAACCTAGGACACAAAATATGTGAATAAGTTTGTGTATTTTACTGTTGTTGGTTTTCTGAAACTAAAGTCAGCTGTGCTCTTTTTCTAAGTTGTAATATGCATGGGTTTTGAGAAAGCCAAAGTGAGCCTTGGTCTACCTTGACTCAGCCTGCACTGCATTCTTACCGGCCTAACAGAAAGCGGTAGTTGCACGGGGTTTTGGCAGAAAGCCCACATCCTCTGATGGCAAAGGGAGTAAAGCATATAAAGAATGTCTAGATCTGCTGCTTCCATCCCCTCAGGCCTGTGCATCTCTTTCCACTTTGTTTCGTCTTCCTCATCCATTTGTAATGTATGCTATCTTGATGTATTGTGGGTTATTTTAAAAATTGCCTTAAATTCTTCATGGTAAAAAGCAGGAAATGCATGACTATAGGTAGGTTAAAAAAAAAAAAAGGTATGGCTCTATGTTTCTTAAGGAACACTTGGTAAAATCCAAGTGATGGAGAGAATTAAAGGTTTGGGATTATCAGTAAAAATCTAAGACAGTGAGGTGTTTGGGATGTTAGATGCATCACCGAAATGGCTAATTAAAGAATGAAAGAGAATTTAGCTAGCCCAGAGCCTGGCCCTTATACTTGTTCAACAAATGTTAGCTTTCCTTCCTCCCCTGGTACTGGATGCACTGAGAAAGGTCAAGGAACTGGGGTCCAGCTGGGTGCTAAAAGGCAACTTGTCATACAGGGGAGACGTGACCACATTAAGTGCTGACCAAAGGCTGTGAGCAATGTTTCATGATGACAAGATGCAGATCTATCAGTGTTCACAGAGGGACTGATGTGGACTTGGCTTGTCTCATCCCTTTGACTGATGTGACCTCAGCAAAATGCTTACCCCCCTCCTCATGCAGGTATTATCCAAACATGGATAGAGCATATATATATAAAAGACTCCAAAGAACACAGTGGGATTATTTATATATCCTGTGACTCCCTTGAAAATACACCGAAATTAACTCCCTTTTGTTGTACATGCTGATGGTCGCAGACATCAGGGGTGTTTGGCAACCCTGAGACTTCTGGAATCCACCAGTTAGACTTGAACTGAAACGGTTTTAGAAATTACTTTAGGCTGTCCTGGAAGGTATTTTACCATGGGCCAATGTAGTCACAAAACAATCTGCCCAAATGCTCAAATATTTAAGACTCCACCTAGAATAACATCATTTATGCAAACATCCAACATGAATGCCAACTTACCAGTATCAGCAATCTTTTAAAAACCTATTTACATGTGAGATAAAACAGTATATGGAGGCTTAGAGAAAGAACTCAGTATTTATAATTCGATTTGCTCATCTGTCCCCCAAAAATGCATTCTTCGGGAAATTTATATATTATTTTACAAAGCACAGAAGTATAAGTAAGCGAGGTTCTGTTTTTCATTCGCTAATGCGTGTTTTAGCTGAAAACGCAGAAGTATGAGAGAACATTCTTTTTTCCTTTAAAAATTAAAATGAACCTACTCTTGAAGAGCCATTGCATATACCAGCTGAGAAAAATTTAGGAAGCTTAGCCACTCTCTTGTATTTCATGAGCAATTCAAAGCATATTCAAGTTGCAAAGCAGACTGGGCCAGCCAGGATATCCTTGTAATAAGCATGTATAGTTCCTCTGCTTGCTCGTAGGAAAAAAAACTTCCACTAATAAACAAATTCTCTAATTGTAATTCTATAAATGGAATGACCATTTTGCTTTGAACAAGTATTTCAAAAGAAAACTGGAATTTAAGATAGAATGCCTGCTTTAAGGGAAAGAAAAAAAAAAAAAAAGCAAGCCCTCAGTAGAGCTTTGGTTACCAAAACAAATAAGTTTGAAGATCTTGATATGAAACATGACAGACCCAGCTTCTTGGCTGCAGTTGTTCCGAAGACCAGGGTCCTAATAACATTCTTTACAAAATTTAAGTCATAAAGTAATTTATCTTGGGCGTGGGCAGAGGCCATCACGCAAGAACAGGAATCATTGGCAGAGATCAACTATTTCTTCTCAAATTATAATATATCAATCTATGAATAATCTGTATATGTCCAAGTCCGCTCAGTCATGAGCAACGGTTTTCCTTTCTCTTTAATAATAAAAGTGTGTCTTATTTGCGAACCATAAAAGACTATGGACTCTGAGAAACAAACTGAGGGTTCTAGAGGGGAGAGCGGTGGGGGGATGGGTTAGCCTGGTGATGGGTATTAAAGAGGGCACGTACTGCATGGAGCACTGGGTGTTATACACAAACATTGAATCATGGAACACTACATCAAAAACTAATGATGTAATGTATGGTGATTAACATAATAAAATTTTTAAAAATGCAAAAAAAAAAAGTGTCTCTTATTTGTGTGGAGCTTTAAAGTTCATAGAATGCTCTTACATCCCTCACTTCACTTAAGGCTCAAAACAAGCCTGATAAATGGCAGGTAGGTATGATCTTCCTGATGAATGAAGAAACTGAAAGTCTCTGAGATTGAGTTGCCCTAGGTCACACAGTTTGAGAGACAGAAATAGACTGAAGGTCCAACCATTTCTTCCTCACAGTTCTATTCCTGGTGTCATCCTGTCTCTCAAGACAAAAGGCATGAGGGGAACCCAAAAGAGAGTTCTAATCTATAACTTCCTGACAACACTTGTTTGGCAGCTAGAGTTCCTAAAGGGTAAATTCAGATATCTGTGAAAGAGAAATGTCTCTAGGGCAGCGTGCCCCCAACTGATGTGACAGGTCCAAGGGGTCAGCACCAGATGGGGGCTTGGTAACATGCACATTCCTGAGCTCCTACGGGATCGGAATCTCTGGAGCTCAGAAATGTGCACTGAAACAAGCACCCACCAAAATAACTCTTACGCATTCCGAAGTTTGAGAATCATTGCCACCGTATACTCAAGAGAACCATGGAGGGAAAAAAAATAACGGGTTTAGTGAAATCAAGAGACCATCACAGATGCTATAATAATTATCCTGACTAGACTATGAGCTCCCTAAGTGCAAGACAGTAGGTTTTGTCTATCATTTTATTTCCAGTATTTCTAATACCTGTCACACAGAAGATGTTAAGTAGAAAGCTGTTGAATGTATTTACACATCCCATATTTAGATGCTTTGTATTTTTTTTTTAACCAGAAATGCCTAGCACATAGCAAATGCCCAGTGGATAATGACTGATCAGACTCATTAAGGTAAGAGTGTTCGGCATGTGCTCATCACAGGCCACGGAAGGTGATAAATGCTTTTGGTGATTTATCTCCTGTAATCCTCACAACCACCCCGTGAAGGGAGTAGTAAACTTACAACTCCCATTTTATGGATAAGGAAACTGAAGCTCTCACAGGAGCAGTAACTGTCCTGAGCTGATAAGTAACAGATCCAGAAATCCAGCCCTTTTCTATCAGACCGGAGCCCACATGTTGTACGCCTCTCTCCTGATGTGAGCTTTCATAAATGAGTGCAGGCCCATCTTTTTGATACCAGACTAAACACTACAAAACATTTCACTCAGTTGTCTATCCTACCAGCTCCTTAAGCAGTATAAATTCTAGGGATTGAGGAAATCAAGAGGAAGGTTATAGTCACAGACTGGGCTGAAGCAAAACCCTATTACTCCCAACCTTGTTCTTCCCAACCCATTCTGCTGGATTTCAGGAAACCCATTAATTTTTTTGTCCTCCATGGTTCTGTTGAGTGTCCTAGAGTAGTGATTCTCAAACTTGAGTACACAGGAGAAGCAAACAGGAGGGTGCTTGTTTCAATGCACATTCCTGAGCCTCAGGGCAAGCTTGGTAGCATTACTTATAAGGACAAACCAACCAAGCCTATGGAATGACACTTGAAAATGGTCAGATTTTTATCTTTGGACTCTCTTCATGCCTTCTCAAACCAAAAGGGGTTCGTTTTACCAACATCCAGCTAGAACAAAGCATGTTCAACAACAATTCCGGAATAATTGTTCTAGTCACCAAGCACAAAAGCCCTGTGGGCATCTCAGTACCCTACAACACTAAGGAAGAAACCCTCTTCGTGTTCACTCTTCCAGACGCTGAGCACACAGACCAGCCTGCCTGGCCTGTGACATTTCCACTACACCTGGCTGCAGACCCTCTCATCCGTCCGTAGGCTCAGGCCCACCCAGGCTCTGGGACTGATCCAGGCGCAAGGAAAGGGAGCCTGAGGAGCCCTGCAGTAGCAGCTCAACAGTTTGGCCAGGTTCTGGCCGATTCCACGCTGACCTTGGCCGTCTCCTTCACAGGGCCTGAATTCTGTTGCCAGCTCACTGGATGACGTCCTTGTTTCCCAAAGTCTGCGGTCTTTTCTCTCTCAGCCACCCTAGCAGCTCGGCAACCAAACTTCCAATTTTTTAGTCACTTGGATCCCCATGTCCCCATCTACTCTGTTCTCTATGCCCCCTGTTGCCTCAGTGACTGAGGGTGACTGCTATTCCACTCCTTGGTCTCACCTCGCATGCCACGCCCTGCTGCTCAACAGTCTTACCCAACAAGCTGCATCTCTGTGCGTATTAGAAAAGAACAGCCCCTCTGGCTCCCCCTGGCCGTGTGGGCACAGATCGAGGCGTGGCCAGGATTTCAGCCACAACTCTTCCCTTAGGCAGGTGCTCCTGTTCCTGGCTCACCTCCACAGCCTGACCAGGTGGCCCAACCTGCAGCCTGTGCTCATTCAGCCCTCAGAGAGTTCCTTCTCCACACAGGTCTCCACCAGTCCTCAGCTCACACTGACACGCCCAAGATGGTGTGAACTCGGCCAGCCCATCATACATCCTGCCTGCCTTCCTCTTTGCATTTATTGCTCAGTTTATGACTGTTCTGTCATCACATGCCCATGTGAGCATTAGCTCCAGTTCTAGCTACATAGTAATGTCTAGATTTTTTGGTCCAGCCCCGTAAGTCCCCTAAGCCTCCGAGACCTAGCCATCTCCCTATAGCCCAAGCCTCAACCGAGACACGTAGGATCCCGCAGTGATC